CCAGTAATTTGTCTCACGTCAGGATAAATCAACACAGGAAGACCAACGAGAGAAAAAAAAAATCCTTTTCCTGAAAGAGTAGCCTGCTAGTCAAAATGCAATTTCACAGGAAATACATGGTTTAATGAGAAAACCCCAATACWCAAATTCTATACTGCARATTTCTTTCACAAATGGAAGCACAGAGCAAAAAAGGATACAAACTTTAGTTAGGATTCTGAAATTGTCAAKTTTTCATAGCTTTGCTTGACACTGTACACAAGATCTTCCAAATAAAGCATAAGAAAAGATAAAACCTTTCTTGTCTTGTTTATCAKGGGATTTCCCTCTGGTTCATCACGAGGACAGTCGMCTAARTCCTCAATATTAACGTCAAAATCTTCCATTGAACTTTCAAGGTTGATCCAGTGTCCAAGAATTCCTACATCAATGATTTGCTTCCATAAATAAATCCACCGTTGCTTGGTATAGTAACAATGCTTCTCGTACGAGTCGTTCTCCTTGCTGAAATCATCTAGCAGCATCACTGAAAATAGACCTAATGACTGCCTTTTCAATCTACCTTCGTAATGCCATTGCAAAACATCTCGCGTGTAAGCATCAGTTACTGGGTTRCTTATTGTCTTAGAAATCTGCAYCAGCTCTACTGAATTGTTCATGAGTAAATCAAGATAAGTGCGTTCATTTGGGTTGTTACGGTAGATSAAATACAACKCACCAACTCCGGCAAAGTACGTTGCTGTCTTCAAAGGCTTGTCTTTGACTCCTTTTAAAAAGTCCACAAACACTGCTTTGTAATCCACATATACATTATAAGCAGATTTACCAAGTTTTCTTTGRTTTAAGTTTTCAAACTGTGGCAAAAGGATATCATTGACTCTATTTACTTGCTGAAATGCTTTTCTAACATTTCTCGCCGCCATGTTGGATGAAGATTGTACAGCATGCGTGACAGGGACCGCGGGCTCAGTACAAACACGTGACAGTTCTCATCAAAATAGACATCAGCTCACGGACATTTTCGGATAATTKTTCCTCGATATTTTATCAAAATGGTAGGTACATTTTCCTTTCTTTACACCTCTTTGTTTGTATTTAATAATTAGGTAAATAGATTCGCATATTTTTGAGATAAAACATTCCAGTTTAAGCTCATATTCCAATGCATGATCGACTCTTCAGATAACACGATGAATTCCAAATTCCTTATACTCTTAGATATCTACGTAACAGTGCTGTAACAGCCAAYGCTTCAAAGCCTAGCCTTCCAAATTTCCGAGCTATTTCGTGAATATATCATTTAAAGGGTTTATAATAGCAGTTGAATAATAGTTTATAGCGGACTAGCTAAAAAAGGAGTGACATGTGTATAACTTAACGTACATTCATACGTCTGGCAAAAGCTGCCTTTCGAAAACCTCGTCCAATACTACATTTCTTTCACAGTTGCTTGCGCCATCTTGAAACTTAAATGGCARCAGAGTGAGACAGGCTATAGTGACAGATATCAGTTCTGTTGTGTCGTCGCTTTTTATGCAATTAAGACTTTCAAGATATATCATGCTGGGTAAAAACAGCCCTAGTCCTGAAAAGSACATTTAACCAAATAAAGTGCATTGTTTACATGCCCACATTTAAAGTAAAGTGAATTGCTCTGATAGACTGCTATTCTCTAATAATCTAAGAGATATGCAATTTGTGCACTTTGGTTCAAAATTACACAGGGAGCCCACATCAAGATGGTTGTTTTAAGAAAGATCTGCCATATGACTTTCATATATGACTGTGCATGTACATGGCACTGGTGTACACATAGAAGGGTCTCATGTCCCTATTATGAGGGGAAAAAACTTAGAAAATTTCAAATACTTAAATTTGAATTTAAATAATTTCTTGAAAGAAGTGTATTAGAATTTGAACCAGAACTATTCATTACTTAACCCTATTTTTCCCCTTAACCTAAACATTAAGCCAGGAGTTCAATTAGCTTGAGTGAACCTCAATTTTTCWGATATTTATGCAATGGCATTCATAAACATCCATGTGTAGGTAAATAAGATTGAAATAATTAATGAAACTTTTCTAGTACACGAGAGTCTTCTATGTGTACATGTGTATGAGAGCCATGCATATGGACATCCATATATGGAAGGCATATGGCAGACTCTAGTATGTTGCTTCTAGAGAGTTGTCCTTGTGCATAACCTTTAGTGATCATTTTACATGTACTAATAAAGTGTCCAATTTATTGAAGCCCAAGGCATTCAAAGTCAGAAGTCACACCAAAAAAGCCATTCATCCTAACTCTAGGAAAGCATCCCAGCTTGCAAGGGCTGCACATAGATCAGAGAAGCTTCAACAGTAAGTGTGCAAAATGTAAATAGTATATTAATTTAGTATTATAAMAAAATTTTTGATATATAATGCATGCTCTGATTGGCTGACGACCGTGTTTATATCAGAGGACAGAGACACGGCTTACCYGCAAAATGTTCTTTTCGCTCGAAAAATTTTATAAAAGAAATATAAAACGGACGTTTGTGTCTCTGTCCTCTGATATAAACACGGTGGGAGTTGAAAAACACTAGAGAAGCAAGAGAAACACTRGCTACGCTTGTGTTCCTAAGCTTGCTTCTCTCGTGTTTTTCGAACTCCCARRGTGTTTATATCAGAGGACAGAGACACGCGCACCGTTTTATATTTCTTAACTATAAGRTACTTCATTAGGATYAATCCAATGTCAGTAACTGTCATTAGATTAGTATGCTCACCYACACTGGTGAAAAACGCACTGCGCATGCCCACAGCTTTCCCACCAGTGAGCGCTCGCGTCTTGAAATCTGTAAACAGAGCGCCTGGCGATTTACAGCGACAACACAGAAAACACTACAAAAACCTCATTTTCTCAAAATAGAAATGACAAGATAAAAATAGAAACTACATACTAAACGGACCTATCATGAACTGATTGATGGAAATATGAATCTTATATATCGGTGAACGAGCTTATAAATTGTAAAAAACTCAAAACAAAAATCGCTTTACAAAGGAAATTAGGCAGATTTCAGCAGGAAAGCTGTGGACATGCGCAGTGCATTTTTCACCAGTGTCATGCTCACCATAGATAAATCATTGTCTTCAAGCAACCATGTTACCTTCAATAATTTACATGATGTTTTTGTTTACAGGAAAAAAGAAGAAAGGAATCATCTTATCGAAGCAAAAAGTAATTCATTGTTTCTTTTTGTTTTCATTGCAGTTTTTGTTTAGAACTAGAATCTTTCAATTTACTATGTAGCTTTCTTTTACAGTTGCGTCTGTGCCTTTATTGCATAAGTGTGGCTGCAAAAGGAGGCTGCAATTTTGTCTGAGCGCTAGTACAGTACTACATTCATTTGCATGTGTCTATATCTATACACCCTTTTAATAAGTCCCGAGGTATTGTGTTTTCCGCACTTGACGTCAAATTTATTCTTTTGAAATTTTTACAATACAAAAGGAATTCAAAAGAATAAATTTGACGTCAAGTGCGGAGAACACAATAACTCAGGACTTATTAAAAGGGTGTATAGATCGTAGTGGGTTCTCCATACAATTTTCCCTCAAGCATATTTTAAGTGACTCAGCATAGAGCATGCATGTTTTCACCACTTATATGAAGTCTTAGGAGGGGACAATAGGAGGGAACTATAGAAACCTCTATGATTTTAATTAATGTTCAAGTGGAAGACATTGATGTATTTTTWACCACACCTGTGTAAATTCTCGTGCTCTAATTGGCTGATTGGAATGTGTCAGTAAGAGGAAAATAATGCACACTGTGCTGARGTACAGCATCACTTCTTGCACATGCTCAGTTGAAAGAAAAGCATGATTCTAGCTTATATTCAGACTTAAAATGCATGTTAAAAATCAAATTGCACACATTATTTGTTGTATATCCTTTTATTGACACACTCTTGATGTTACTGGAGTTACTTTTGAACATRTTGAGACATCAAGAGGACATGCAATTTAAAACATGGAGCAATTTGTTAAGTTTGCAAGTGTTATGCAATTTATGCAAAAGAGAACTCTCTATTTTAGTATTGAATTTACATGAAAGGATGTTTTTTTATTCACCAAATTTTCTTTTCTGTTGTAAATATTTCAGTTGGTGAGAAGTGTAGATGGTTTCATGAGCACATAGATGAGACCAAAATAAAATATACTGCAGAAGAAGTCAGAGAAATGATTGAAGAGTGAGTACATTTTRTCATACAAATATTATAAAATACCCTATTGCAAATGATGTCACAGAATGTTTACAATAGGTAATGTGCAGCAATGTCATTTTGTATAACAAGGCATGATGGGAATTTTAGTCCTTGCATTGTCATCATATCAAACAATTGTCGTGCAGACTACCTGTTTTTTTTTTGTGGGATTCCTTATTTTCAAGGATGGGAGGGGACTAGGACAAAATTACAATGGCTGACATGTTGAAAAGCAATTTCTCTGCAAATTCTGTAAGTTTTAGCCATTTTAAGGCACTAAAAGGTTGAAAAAAACTTGAAAAAAACTTTTTTATAAGGTAAGATTACCATATATGGTCAGCAAAAGTTTGGCAATCGAATGAATTTTTCTACGAAGCAATTGTTTGATATGGTCCATTAGACCAGCATTCTTAACTTTTATTGCTGCAAAAAAATAGATTGAAGTAAGTGACTCTGTAGTTTCAATTTAAACAAAGTTTAAAAACGGCTTTTAACAAGATTTTTCAGGGGCTGTAAAAATTGCAAGGACTACAACTCCATCATGCTTCTTTGTACAAAATCATGTCGCTGTACAATGTCTATTGGAATTATAGCTGTTCACTAACAGGGGGAGATTGGACACCTTTGCAACTCTCCAAAAGTTGAACTTCAATATTTTTAGTTTTAAATTTCAGTGTGGACTATTTTGATGATGATGATAATGATTTTTGCTTTCAGGTATCTTCATCGTTTTGATGCAGAACTGCAAACGATAGAACAGCTGAATAATGCTGTGAAGGGTAGACAGGGTAGAATCCATGCYAGCAGAGAAGATAAAATCAAAACCATTGTTAATGTTGAGACAGAGCTTTTTAATACTGGTGGACTTGGTAAGAATAATGCCTTCCCTACTCTCCAGCACAGATAGCTCTCTTCCATTCTGCTCTTCACAACATAATTCATTGTTGACATCGAGAAATTGTTCAGAACTACGGATAAGTCTGTCGCCAAAAAAAACTAAACTACAAAGACAAGGGACTAAGGGCATTGCACAGGATTACCCATRATACACTCGATATTATGATATTTAGGTATTTCAACAATTCTCATAATTTTTGCAAAAGGCTGTATGGCTCTGATGTAACTATAGAAGGCTCTCATGTCCCTATAGTCTAGAAGGTTATTATATATTAATCTTAAGTAAAAATTTTCTAAGTTCTTCAGCACATATTTGGAACATGAGATCCTTCTATATGTACATCAGCGCCGTGTTCATGCACAACCATATACATGTATGGAAGTCATACGACATACCCTTCTCCTTCCCATTGTTCTGCCCTTCGGCATGATACCGTAGAAACCTTAAAAAGTTCAAATAATMTGTTGTCTATGTAGGAGATTGTTCTCATATCATGTCTAGACTGTCAGGCTACAATATGATCTCTTTGACAGCCTATTCTTTTGTTTAGCTTGCTGTTCCTCAGGTTGATATTTTTAGGACAGGAAAAAACCGTGTGAATTGTGATTAAATTTCAGAAATTCCAGACCTGACATCAGCCAAGAATTTGAAACTCTTCAAGTAAGTAATGATAATCCCATTTAAAAATTACAGGACACTTGGTAAAGAATTGAAGAACTAATGAATAAATTATTGAAAATAATGGATGAAATAAGGAGATGGAAATTTYAATCTAGCAGTCAATGGTGTCCTCCTCTAATGACGTCATGTGTGTTTTGGCGAACTGCATCATGGTATTGATAAAAAAAAAAAAAATGGCGGATATCCCAGTTCTAATGTTATGAAAAACAAGTTGGTTTCCAAATTATGTATATCGGTCGTCGCATTTAACGGAATACTTATACGCTAGAGTATGCTTTTTATGCTTTTTTATGCTTCTTAAAAGACTTGTCCGAGATATAGGTAAAATGCTTGTAGTTCTCAACGTGAACAACCACAACKACAGCTTCTTTTCGCTTTSGTGAATCCAGCATTTRATCATCGTCATTTGGGGAGAGGGCTATTGATGCCATGAAAAATGATTGAAAGTTAGTGAATTTGTTGTTTTAGAGAATGGAACTGCGACATGAAGACGTTCTCTCCGATAACAATGAAGTCGTTCGTAAAACTGCCTAATTCAACCTCAAAAACTGAAGAAAACTCCATAGAAGAACAAACAACAGTCAGTAAGGAACCCATAGAGGAAAATAGTCACATGGATTCTTAACTTTTTAGCATGTAAAATAAGCAACAATTTAAATTAAATCACTAGAAGGGTAGAATAAAAATGGTTTTAGTCTTACCTGTATCGATGATATGTCGGTAATAGTCGGTCTGCATGACATCACATACATGTATTACCAAGAACAGTATTCTTTGAACACTTTTGTTGTGTAATTAGTCCCAACAGAATAGTTTTCGCATTTTTATTGTTATTCAGATTTTTGATCGCTTTAGAGATTAGTAAAACAATCGTGACCAATCACATGACATWGGAAGGTGMGCAAGGCATTKTGGTCTTGGTAGCATGTGCCCCCATCGTGCAAAGCGCCTACAGTGATAGTTKAAGGAACATGATCAACCGGCATTCAATGCGGTCGTATTTTAGATTTTTCGCACATGCAAAATGAMGRGATTTCAAATAATAATTTGCAATCCATTTCCACTGTCAATCCATTCTTACCCCCTTTCATAAATACATTAAACAATCCATCCAAAACAATTGATATTAAAGTTAATTTATTATTATTTTTTCTCTTTTAAAAAAGATAGATTTAGTAATCATTCACAAAATCGTTCATCCGATAACAGCAACCTGGCTTAAAAACTCTACTGTAGCTGGCTTTTCACTTTTTTTTMCTCTTTACACAGAACAGTACAATGAATTTTAAACRTGRAAAMAGAATAAAATGTGCGACGATTCACTTGAAAAACTAAATCATATAAACACACGAACTGTAATTCATCTCGGACATTAATAAGTTGTATTTAAGTTAAGAAATGTTCTTCTTTCGTCGTTTCGCTTGTGCAGTTTTTCCAATACACCCGCCATCTTGATTTTCATTGTTTTCGGAGAGCAATTATGGGATGCTGTTTAGAGATCTATATATACCGTAAGTGTTTTTGATGATATTTTTTTTAAAGATTTTATGTGATCCATAGTCAAATGTGAAAAACAAATGATAACAAATAATACTATACATTCATTTGGCAGTTTTGATGCAATAATGATAAACATTTTTACAAGATAAAAATAAAACGTTTTCTTCCGCTAATTTTCCATTGCTTAGATTTTTCTCTTTGATGAAAGAATTCAAGATGGCGGCTGTAAGGATAAAATCTAAAATTCATCATGGCTGGCTTGTCTTGGTACTTTAGGTCCACTGAATTCCTCATGTGAGATAACTCCATCACCGTCTGTATCTTCTTGAGCAAATACATTGTCGACCATTTTCTCGTGTTGTTTCTGCCATTGTTCGTCGTGGACTGGGGCGAATCTTGCRTCGGCCTGGACTCGCATGTAGTTAGAGATTTCTGATCGTGTTAGCTTGTTATCGCCATTTTTGTCCATGTAACTGAACATGTCATGATGTGGTGCGGGTTTACGGTAGTCGAGGAGCTCCAAGTCGTAAGTCAYTGTTGTATTTCCTGTCGAAAAGAATTAGAAACATTTAAAGATTAACCTCTCTGATTGGRTGAAAAGGAGAAATTCAAGAATGTACACCACACGATTACTAGCGATATTTAAGATAGTTACGCGAGTGTATTGCCTCCTGCAAGCTATGGAAAATGCTAAAACAGAATTTTATATGAACTTGTGAAACAAAATATACTGATTATTAGAATGTATAAGGTTAGATCATTATAGCTGAGACCAATGGCGAAGTGAGAAGAGTAAAAATGTTATCTCAGTTCTATAAAATATATTCTAATCGTATGAGGAGTGGCTGATCCCATTAAATACTGTCTGATGAGTGCGTAGCACGAAACTCGGAGTTACAGTAAAATCCTGCCTCTTTGATATCATATATATGAAATATATTCTATAATTTTTTAATCAGTAATTATTGAAAATGTGGCAGTATTGCGATACAAAAGGGACTGGTTGAATTATACAAAGGACGAATAGCGCTATTGCGCCACCTCATAAATTCCATTCAAAGTCTAAAAACTGGCTATATATTAACTTAATCCGGTGGATAACTTTATCTACCCTTGGTGCAAACGGCCCAATATTATGATGATAAAATGGATCTTTTGATGACGATGATTATGACTTCGTGTATATATTGATAATGATAATAATCTGAATAGAAAKATTGATAATCACCTAAAAGAATCCTTCATTCGGTTGTAATAAAGCTTTATTTAGGAATTGAATCAACGCCAGTGCGCAAAAAGTCACCAATACAACAAACAARAAWGTATCAATTTAGTCATAACTTATGAATATTAAAAAACCCGGGAATTCCTCTACTTTGTTGATCATTAGCCACTCATTCATATGAAAAATACTTAAAAACAAAAACATAAATTTTGAATTTGAACCTTTAATTCCAATTTTTATTCTACCAATAGTAAATATGATATTTTTTACCTGGAATATCAGTTGTTCCTTTTTTACCATATGCRAAAGCTGGTGGAATGGTAACTCTTCGTCTTTGTTCTTTACACATGCCTACRAAAGCTCTTTCAAAGCCTTTGATCACTGTWCCACTTCCTAAAATAAACTCAAATGGTTGATAGTGCTTTCTGTGGTCAATGGTTGTATCAAAAAGCGAGCCATCGTCTAACCATCCCGTGTAATGAACMACKACTTGGTCTCCTGTCTTTGTTTTATTCTTGCAGCCCTTGGGGACGTATAACTCTTCTACTCCTATTTTAGCGTTRGGGTCTTCCTCTTCRTCTTCYTCTTCAGCRTCGTCGTCTTGTTCTTCYTCTAAGGCAGCTTCTTCATCGGTTTCTTGTTGATTTGTTCCTTTTTTTGTTTCCTTGCTATCAGGTGCAACTTCAACCTTTCCATCTTCATCTTTCTCTGCTTTTTTATCGATGGCTAAGCAGAAAGCAACTGCGAGTGAAAGAACTAGCAGTGTAATCGTTAATCGTTTCATGTTTAAAATGCAAAGCTATGATGTTTTGTGTTCTTAGCGAGTGTTTCTCAAAGAGGATTTTCAATTCACGTTCGTTGAATACCGGCTGCGTGCTCGCTCCTTATTGGACACTGACGTGGACCATGAACGCGGCTTTCTACTTCACTCATACGAGAAATAAACTGCTTAAAAATCACTCACAAAATAGACATTTTACTTTACACATGATGAATAAACATAAATGCTATAACAGAAATGTTTGATTTTCTTAGCTTTTTTCTATTTTTGATTTTTGGAGGATTTTTTGGCCTTCAAGCGTGTCGAAAACCATTGTGTAGGGTTCACAGGTACCTGCGCTAGACGAAATAATGATCGTTTTGTTTTGTAAAGTTTGAAAATGTTAAGCTGATATAAATTGCAGGTAACTATTTTCATTGTAAGGTTATTAAACATTTAAGAGACTTAGTTTATTGGTATTAACCCTGGCCTTACTGATAGAAACTGATACGGTTGTCCGGTAGAAATTTTAGCGGTCGAAATCCAAGCTCTCCATAGTGGGATTTGATTTTTTATTTTTTATATGATACTTTTCTCATCTGTTTGAATGCACAAAGAAAGTAAACGAAACGTCCTCATGTTTTTATTGCTGTTTATTGTAGAAGGTCWTTATTCGACTTGTATTTACAATATTGACTTCTCTTATGATAGATGAGTGAACTGGCGAATACATGTATTGCCATCAGTTATAACTAAATATAAATACGCTTTACAAAGGGATAGACTGATAGACCAGAGACTTTCAAATCTTTCAATTTTTCATCTCAAATAACTCTATACTGAAAATTCAGCTAATAATTTCTTTGAAAATAATAATAATAATAAAATATTTTTGGGCTTCCTGTGGAATTCCCTAGTGCCAGAGACTGGTTCGAGAAGTATGCAAAGGCGGCCATTTTGAACACGATGAGCTCAAAATTCCTTTAGAAAACGAAATACTCTTCTTGTTTCTGCATTATGTTCAATGTCTAAGGAAAGGTTCATGTGTTTATGACTCTATTGCTTTTCGCAACGACAGCAAGACGAAGGAATTAGTTAAAATAATGCTGACTTTTCAAGAGGAAGGTATGTATAATAAGCTTAACTTAACTTWAAAAATTTAAAAGAACCTTGAAAAAAGATAACTTAAGCTTATATTGTAAACTTATTTAATTAACAAATGTTTTTTTTACATCATGGAGCTGAAGCAGAGTAAAATGCTCCAGTCTACCAGTCAGTTGAAAGCAATGGGGACTTAAAAGTTACCGTGTTCTTCTCTTATAAATAAACTGACAGTTTTAAGCAACTGAAATTTAAATTTAAATTTCT